CTCAATGTGATGTATTGAACGGGACCATGCAGGGCTGAGTGGACGGCCCAGCTGGTCTGGAATACAGGGAGAAGTGTGGCCTCCTGAGGCTGCAGCCCATGTCCACCTGCATCTAGGCTCTGCCTACTCTCCGTCTGCCCCTCCAGGAGCTGCAGAGTCACACAGGTCTGGTGGGAGCTGGCACTCCCAGGGAAGTGTTCATGGTTCCTTGTTGCTGTTGGCATCACGTCAAACAACAGTCAAGAAAAATCATCGCTAGCTCAGTATCTCAATGGTTAGGAGGAAAGGCCTGGTGACCTTCTGAACTTAGTCCAGAACCATCTCAAGGACAACAGCAATGGCTCCAGAAGCACACGAGAGTGACCCAGTGCACAAGGCAAAGAGCATGGGTGTGCCTGAGCCGTGTGCTGGAGAACGTTGACTGACAGGGTGCAGGAAGTACAGCCAGAGCGTACCACAGGGACAGCCGGACACACTGCGGACACGGGACGGGGGCTTCTGAAAGCTTCACGGTTAGCATGTGAAGTCTAGGTTCAGTCTAGCAGCACAAAGAAATCGAGGTGGCCCTGGTGGTCTGTATGGTCCAGCAGGCTTTGTCACTGTAGGCACAGCAAGCAGACCTTTCACTCTGGTCTGTCTCCAGGGCTCTGTCTCTCCAGTCTGGGGAGTTCTCCCTCTCATGTCCTCACAGCCTGTTGGTGATGTTGAAGATACAAAGCAAAGGGTGAACCATGCGTCTGCATATGAGGCAGCTGGAGACCATGCCGCCAGAGAGGGATAAGGTAATGGAATAAAAATTAAAAAAGGCATTTTCAAAAGTTTCAGCATCACAGCAGGGAACACTAGTGACTGGAGCGTAGGTAAGTTATGGGATGACATGAGGGATTTCATACTTGAGGAGAACAAAGAATCATTCATTACATACAGAAGAAAGAAAAGACCAAACTGGATGACAAGAAACTCTGAAAACGACACCAGAGTGATGAGAAGGCAAAACAAAGGGAAGAGATGCAGAAGTGCAAGAGCAAAGCAGCTTTCAAAGGGCAGCTCAAGAAGGCGAAGTATTCTAAGGGAATCTGCAAAGAGCTGGACTTGGAGAATAAAAAGGGAAGAACTCCCTTGGTATTATTCAAGTTGAAAGAACTGAAAAATTCAAGCCTCAAGTTGCAATACTGAGGGATGCTACAGGCAAAAGTTTGGAATGACCCAGGAAGCATTAAAATATGGAGAGAATAGTCACTGCACCAAGAACTGGTTGACACTGAAAAGTTTCAAAAGAACCATGAGATCAAGAGCCCAGGATGATGAAGTTCAAGCTGTGCTGAGAAGGCTTCTCATGGCGCTAGTGCGATTTTCAGTCTCTTCTGACATCCATTTTGGTCTTTTCTTCCTCTGTATTCATGACCTTTTACTCTCTTCCTGGAAGGTATCCTTGATGTCATCCATAACTCATCTTGTCATTGATCTTTAGTGTTCAATGCCTCAAACCTGTTCTGGAGATGTTTTTTAAACTCAGGTGGGGCACATCAAGGTCATATTTTGGTTCTTGTGGACTTGTTTTCACTTATTTCAGCTTCAGAAATAGCTTTTGATAAAGAGCCAATGGCAATGAAGGCACAACTTCCAGCTACATTGAAGGCCATGGCATTCAATCTGTATGCTGAATAAATAATCTGAGAAGCTGGACTATACTAAGAAGAATGTGGCTGAGATGTCATCTCACCCCAGTAAGAATAGCAAAATTTAACAGAACGGCAAGCATCAAATGCTGGCGAGGTTGTGGAGAAATTGGCACCCTTATTCACTGTTGGTGGGGGTGTAAAATGGTGCAACCACTTTGGAAGGTTGTATGGCACTTTCTCAAAAAGTTGCAAATAGAAATACCATTTGACCCAGCAATTCCACTACTGGGAATACACCCTAAAGAAACCATAACTGCACACCGATGTTTATCGCGGCTTTGTTCATAATAGCAGAGTTGGAAACAACCTAAGTGCCCATCAACAAATGAATGGCTAGAGAAGCTGTGGTATATTCACACAATGGAATACTATGCAGCACTGAAAAACAGGGAACTCATGAAATATACAAAATAGGTGACCCTGGAGGACATTATCTGAGTGAAATCTCAGTCACAAAAGGACAAATACTGCATAGTCCCACTGTTATAAAGCAGGAATGACAGTTGGGGGGAATCAAAGAGGGGATAAATAATGTATACTGCATTGGAATTGATGAGGGAGAGAACTGTTTAGGAGGAATATATGATTACGTATTATTGTCATGACAATAGTCTAGAATGAAAGCTTCAGAGTGAAATGGACTAGTGGGGGATTGTAAAACAATGAAAGAATTTTTTTTTTTACTTTTCAAAGAGAAAAGCAAACTGAGGGGCAGGGGTGGGCAGGGAAGAAAGTGTGCAACAATGAATGAATGGAAATCCAGAATCTTTGTAAACTTCATTAAAATAAGAATGTGGCACCAGGATTGGCAGAAAGCTCACCAGCACCTTGTGATAGGCAGATGACACATGACTAAGTGAGCACTTGAAGCACTTAGTGAAGAAGGTCCCATCTCAAATCTCATTTATGTTGGTGGGAACTGACTCCTAGCTGACCCTCTGTTGGACTGAGGCTGTAAACAGCACAGGGGGAGACTGCCCATTTCTCCTGGAACCACTGGCGGTTCTGAAGAGCACAGGCTTTGAGTGAGCAGCTCAAATACTTATCTAGAAAACAAGATCCTCACAACAGGCCAGCTGCAGCTGCCGGGTGGGACAGAAGTGCTGGGTGGGCTCCTGGGTAGACCAGGGATGCAGTACAGCATGGAGTCTGCTATAGTGTCAGCTCAGGGGTGGCATC